GCGGCGGGCGGGGCTCCCGGCGGCTCCGGGGCTGCAGGTAGCAGGTGTTTCTGAGGCGAAGAACCGTAGTCCTACTGTGCGCCGGGCCGGGCGCTCGCCTCGCCGCATCTGGTGCCCGGAGGAACGGCCCTCCGCGGGTGGGGGGCAGGGGGTGGGGGCGCGGGTGGGGACACGGGGTGGGGGCGGGTCGGGTGGGGGGCAGGGGTTGGGGGCGCGAGTAGGGGACGGGGGTGGGGGGCGCGGGTGGGGGACGGGGGGTGGGGCGGGTAGGCCCCCGGGGCACGCGGTCTGCGGACGTCAAAGAGGAGACAGTCAGGGACGCAGGAAGGGCCCCGCGAGGGCGGGGGGAGGTTTGCTGCTGTGTCCCGGGTTCTGCACTCGAGGCGGTGGCTCGGGGGGGACGCGGGGGTTAAGGCTCCCGATCCGTGTTAAGTGCTGGTGAGGCCCGGCCGCCGGCGCAGCCCCCTGCTCCCCTCAGGCATCGTGAAGGCCTACTACGTGCGGGCCCGGGCTCACGCGGAGGTGTGGAACGAGGCGGAGGCCAGGGCGGACCTTCAGAAGGTGCTGGAGCTGGAACCTTCCATGCAGAAGGCGGTGCGCCGGGAGCTGCGGCTTCTGGAGACCCGCCTGGAGGAGAAGCGGGAGGAGGAGCGGCTGCGCTGCCGGAACATGCTGGGCTAGGGCGAGAGCGGGGCCCCCCGGCCTCCTGGGCCCCCCCCCCGCCCCCTGGCTTCTCCACCTGCCCCAACCTCCCCTGACCTCCACTGGCCTCCCCTGCCTCTCACAGCCTTCACTGTCTCCCTGGCCTCCTCTGGTTATCTTCGCCACTTCATCCGCTTCTTCTAGAACTCTCCGAGTCCCCGCCACTCCCTTCTGTGCAGGGCGATCCCTGGACTGTTGCTTCCGCACCCGCCCCGCCGTGAGCGCCTGTGCTCCGTCTGCGGCCAGAATCAAGTCTTTCTTTCGTGCTTTGCCCGCAGACTGACTGTAAAATGAAAAACCAATAAACGGTGTGCGTAGCTTCCCGCGGGCCCCTGTGCGCCGCTGTGATCACGGGCCTTTCTCTGTGGTTCCAGGTCTGCGGCCCCCGGGGGCCACGGAAGGAGGCCACTCACGGCGAGGAAGGGGGTCGGTGTCGGGCGGGTTCGGCTCTGGCTGAGGGCCGTGCGGGTGTATGTGCACAAAGCAGAGGGCAGCGGGCCGGGCCAGGGTCAGGACGGTCAGCGGCCTCCGATGCCCTGGGGCGGCCCAACTGCGGGGGCTCAGAAGCAGAGGGAGAGCCCGGCCAGGGGGTGAGCTGAGGACCAGGACCCGCGGCCCCCCGGGGTTTCAGCGTGCGCCGTCCCCCCGCCGCCCTGGGGTCCCCGAGGGTCTCACCCCATGTGTGCCGATGCCCGAATGTGTCCCCCGACCGTGGTCCCCTGTGGCTGTGTCCCCTCCCCGTGCCCCAGAGAAGAGAGGCAGGGCAGGGGTGGGGATGGTGGGAGCGCCCCCTCCCCACTAGCGCTGGAGGCCGTGGGAGCCAGGAGGCTGGAGACCCCTCCCTGCCTGGTGGCCAGGTCCACAGGTGCCCTCTCGCCTCGCCACCCAGGGGGTGGGGATCGGCCACGTTTCCGTTCACGCCTTTCTGGGTCAGCCCGCCTGCCAACCCTGCCTGCAGCCTGCCTTTCTCAGATGGTCTGAGCCTCCACCTCGCCTCACCCCTCCCT